AAACAAAAGAGGCCATATCTTATCTAAGTGCATCATAGCCAACTGCTGAACACCTAAAGACAAAAAAAAAAATAATAATAATAAAGTAAATGCATTAAACAAATAATATACTTCAGAAAATTGCTGTTTTCTCAAAGCAAATTATAAAAGTTAGGAATCTAAACTTTGAAAATTCTCTAAAATGTTCTCAGAAATGATTTCCTTAAGGAAAAGATAATTCTGGATAATGCAAAGAAGAAAGAAAACTGGTATGATATGTTAAAACACCATTTAAAAAATTTGATAATTGAAATTCTATACTCAAAATACCTTTTAAAAATGAACATTAAAAAGAATTAAGGAAAAAAGAGATTTATTTTCCATACAAAAATTTCTGTACTGCAAAACAAACTAAAGCACACTGTTTGGCTGAAGGGAATTATTCAGCATGGAAACCCTGCATGATAGGAAGACAACACTAAAAGGAATAAATATGTGGTCAACTGTAAAAGTCTACAGTGTTTTGAAAACTTATAGTAGGATATCTATAACTTTACTAGGTTAAAACATCTGACAATAAGATGCCTAACATAGATGTACTGTGAAAGATATCAGTGCTGTAAGATTTTTATCATTTCTAGAACAATACAAGGATATTAAAGTAGACTCTCATAAAATATATATACCTTATGATATGGAATTATGGATATCTAAAACTCTTCTTTAAGTTTAGAAGTAATTTTAAAAGACTGATTAATCCAGAAGGAGAGAAGGAAGGAAACAAAGCATAAAAGACATGAGACAAATGGGGTGAAAGAGCAAAGCAGTAACCTTAGAGCTAGGGATTACTTTGAAGGAAAGTGGACAAAACAATCCAGTAAGAAACAGACTACGAGATTGAACAAAACACAGTAAGATTCAACTCTGTTCTTTTTGCAATAAACACTTTAAATTAAGTACTTAAATTTGTGTCAATTGTAAGTATGGGAAACAGTTAAAATTTAAAAGATGGATATAGCAAATGAACACTAACAAAAAGAAAAGCTGATAAAGTGGTATCAATACCAATAAATCCGACTTTGTACACAAAAATGCATTATTAGAGGTAAGTAAGAAATTTCATGATTAAAGAATCATTTCACAAAGAAGAAAAATGTTCTGAATTTGCATTCACCAAACAAAATAGCTTAAAGATATGCAAAAATATTATAGAATCAAACAAAAGGGATCTACAATGGTTGGGGATTGTAACATACCTCTCATTAAACAAAAGAACAAACATTTTTTTAAATTTTATATCTATATAAATTCAAAAATGTGAATATAAGCAATTAATTAACATAACCTTAAATCACATCATAGAATATCCAACAACAGAATACATATTGTTCTTGAACATTATAATTATAACTCCTTTGGTAAATCATTAAATAGATTTCTAAAAACTGAACTATTACAAAACAAAATTCTAAAAAAAAAAAACAAAATTCTACCTGGTAAAACAATAAACTAGAACTCAAAACCACAAAGATGAACAGAATAGCCCAATTTGTACATTAAGTAGCACATTACCAAATAACCTATGAGTTAAAGAAGAAATCACAATGGAAATTTGAAAATATTTTTTATTCAATGGCAAAAAGACAACAATTTCAAAACTTACAGGATACAATAAAGCTGTCCTTAGAAAATTACTGCTCTCTAGGAATTCATCAGTTAAATATCTCTAATCTTAAAATCTGAAATCCAAAATGCTCCAAAATTAAAATCTTTTTCAAGTTATGTACACCCTCAAAAAGTTTCAGATGTTGCAGCATTTCAGATTTTGCATTTTTAAATTAGGGATGCTCAAATGGTAAAGTCACTGCAAATACTGTACTCCAAAACTCGAAAACTTCAACATAAGAAACACTCTCTGGTTGCAAGTATTTCAGGTAAAGAATATTAAACTAGTATTACAAAAAAAATGCAAGGTTTAAGTGTAATAATATAAATTTATTTGCAAAAATACTTAAAAAATAAGAGCAAAACAAATCAATCCCAAAGAGTATAAAAAAGGAAATTATCAAGCTAAAAGTAAAAATCATTAGAACAGAAATGACAATGAAAAAAAAGAGGTTGCTTCTTTGAAAAGGTAAATGGAATTGCTAAACTCTTATCAGACTAAATGAGAAAACACAAATAACCATAAAAAATGAATGGGAAATATTACTATAGGTATTCATATCATATACAGATATGGAAAGAAAACTAATGTATTAAGAACAACTTTATCCTAGTACATTAGAAAATGCTAATAAAATGTACAGATAATTTGAAAAACAACTTAGCAAAATTGACATTAAAAAAAAAGCTCAACAGTGTTATTTCTATTTAAAAAGATGAAACACAGAATTTTAAATCTTTACACAGGTCTTCTTTCCCCCCCACCACCATATCTACACACACACACACACACACACACACACACACAAACTCCAGACTCAGATGTCATCACTGATAGAATTCTAAAAAGCCTTTGAAACAGAGTACCAACTTCATATAAAGACAATACTTCTAAAGAATAGATTGCCCTGTATGAAGTTGATACCAAAATCTGAAAGAGTAACATGAAAAATTACAGGAAATACTGTGTTAACAGAGGAAAAAAATCCAAAACAAGTTTCACAAACCTAATTCAATGATACAAAAAAAATGTTGACACAAATTCCAGGGAGAGAGCACCTGATCAGACTGAGAAGTTTACAAATCTTGGCTAAAATAGATCCACCAAAATGTTCTCAGATAGGAAAAAAGTCTTTTTCCCTACAGAATAATAGGATTTTCTTAATAATATAAGGAATAACAGATGCAGGATTGAAAAAATAATATTCATATATTACAGAAATTCTCGAGCTGGCCAAGTAGCTCGCTGGTTAAAGCACCTGCAAGCAGGCCCAGGGGCCAGGATTCAATCCCCAGGCCTGCAGTGCCAGCCCCACTCCCA